TTCTTGTCTTCTTAATGACTTTTTGCTTTCTTCCTGTATGATGTTCTTGATGTCATCCCACAACTCTTCTGGTCTTCAATCTTTAGTGTTTAACGTATCAAATCTGTTCTTCAGATGATCTGTATATTCAGGTGGGATATATCCAAGGTCATATTTGGTGCTCGAGGACTTGTTTTCATTTTCTTCAGCTTCAGTTTGAATTTGCATATGAGCAATTGATGGTCTGTTCCACAGTCTGCCCCATGGCCTTGTTTTGACTGATGATATGGAGCTTTTCCATCGTCTCTTTCCGCAGATGTAGTCAATTTGGTTTCTGTGTATTCCATCTGGCGAGGTCCATGACATTATAGGTAGTCATTTTTCTGTGTAATGTTAGCAGCCACTGAAGACCATTGTCAGATCCATTAATTCATTGATGTTAAGTGCCGTGGAATCAGTCCTTTAATTCCTAGCATTTGTAAAATGATATCATTCTGTCATTCTTTTACTAGGTGGAATACTTCTAATTATAAAATAGTATTTCCTTCATCAATTACTTGCTTTCCATGAAGGATAGTTTGTATAGGAAAGAAAACTTGATTTTTTCCATTACTCACCTTTGAAATTAATGAGTTTTCTTCTTAGCATCTTCCAAGTTAACTTTGATGTAGTGGATTATTTAATATGTCTCTTTTAGTCATAGTCTGGAATGGTGGTTGTGTGCCACTGAGTCATTTCCGACTCATAGCCACCTTGTATAGAGTTTCCAAGACTGTAAACTTTTAAGGGAGCAGCAAGCCTCCTCCTTCTCCTGCAGAGTGACTGGTAGACTCACACTAGTGGCCTTGTGGTTATAAACCAGTAAGTTACCAGAGCTCGTTAGTCATAATCTGTAACTCCCACAAAACAGTGTTTCTGCCCAGACACCTGGGTAGGAAAAGGTAGAAGAAGAGACTAACAGAATGACATGATTCAGCTGTGGATGCTAGCAGAGTTCATTTTAATTGTAAAAACTTGAAACTCTAGCATAGGTATAAAATAAACCATCTCAGAACCAGGAAGAGGGGCATCTTACTACCATCAAGAAGAAAGGACCAGGACTGGGATGCATCCTTTGGACCCCAAGATCCCTGTGCACTGAATCTCCTAAACTCTGGGACAGCAAGTTGTGACATGGAGGAGTGTCAGAAGAGCAGAACCAATAAACAGTACACAAGACACTGGCTTTCTCAACCCATGGAGCAAGTAAGAGCTGAGAGACTGTGACCAGAAAGTTTATTTGAAGAGTGGGTTCACCCAGGCACTTAACGGGGGGAACTAAAGTCTTTAGGCTCAGGCTTATGGTGTGTCCTGTAGGTATTTCTCAGCAGCTGACTGGAACAACTGTGCCCTGAGCATGTTCTGATCCTGTATTAGAACCTGTTAATTTCTCCAATAAGCCTGTAACTGTGAGTATTGTCTCTGAGTTCTGTGTGGTCATAGCAGTGGGTTATTGAACCTAGATGAGAAGTAGAACACATCATGGGAGGGATAATTGGTGCTTCATTTTTTGCAGTAGCCAATGATATTTTTTCAGTTATCATTATAAATTCATAAACACTTTTGATGTCATCAGTTGTTTGCAACTATTGTCCTTGTAATTTAACGTTCAAATTAGAACATTTTTTGTCATTGGGAGCCTCTTAAAGTTTGCTCCTGAGTCCTTTTAAACATGTAGTCCTGGTGTGGCACTGTGGGTTAATGTGCCAGACTGCAAAGCCATTTGAACTGCAAGGCTGGCGGTTCACGCTCACCAGCTGCTCCTCGGAAACCCTATACAGGGTCGCTATGGGTCAGAATCGACTCGACGGCACTTAACAACAACATCCATAGTTTCTGATGGATTCCTGGTGTGGCGCTATAGGATAAGCACTGTAAACCACAAGGTCGGCAGTTCAAACCCACCAACTGCTCCTCAGAAACCCTATACAGGATCACTGTGAGTCAGAATCAACTCAATAGCACTTAACAACAACGATAGTTCCTGATAGGTTCCTTGCTTTCTGATATGACAAGAAGTTCAGGCTCACTGTGTGTATTTCTGGTTTAATCCTGAAGTCAACTCTTTCTCCAAAGAACCTTTGTTCCCTCTATTTGGAAATGATTTTAAAGACCACAGTTTCAGCAGTAGAGTGTTCATTGCTACTGTGCTGATCATTGTTTCTAGGCTTTTTCAATGGACAGAGTCAGGAATTTGTTCTGTATATGAAATAAACTTCTTACTCTAGCTTCTGTTTTTGAGAACTCAGTTACACTAATATAATTACTCATTTACCTTTTCCCACAATACAAACATAATAGTCTCAGAAGCATTTCACAAGTTATCCATGTCTACTGTTTCAGGAATCACTGATGTTCAGTGATGTGTCTGTAGACTTCTCTCAGGAGGAATGGGAATGCCTGGACCCTGCTCAGAAGGACTTATATAGAGATGTGATGTTGGAGACTTACAGCAATATGGTTTCAATGGGTAAGAACCTTTATACCAGTCATTAAGGTCTACTTCCACAGTGAAGTGAGTTTTCAGCTGTTTTGCAAGTTACCAGGTGTGTTTCTGCTCCCTATTCTCTGGTGGCACAGTGGTTCAGCACTTGACTGCTGTCCAAATGGTCTGTGGTTTGAATCTACCAACGACCTTATGGGAAGAAGATGTGGCAGTAAGTTAGCTTCTGAAAAGATTACAGTCTTGGAAACCTTAGAAGGCAGTTTTACTCATTTTTTATAGGATTACTATGAGTTACAATCAATTTGACAGCAATGGTTGCTTTGGTTTTTGTTTTATTGGTATTCCCAAATAAATAGTATAAATTATAATGAAGAGTGGGAAATAGCACCAATGGGTTATGGCTGAAGCTGTATCTCTTTCTTTTTTTGGCTCTTCCTCTAGTGGCATCTCCTTCTTGATCACCAAGGGACTGGATCTGATTTCTGGGATTACCCACAGCATAACCATGTTCCTTATCTTTTCTTGTGAGCAGGAACTTACATCCCTAAGCCTCAAGTGATCTCCTTATTGGAACAAGGGAAGGAACCCTGGATGGTTGGCAGAGAGCTGACAAAAGGCCTTTGTTCAGGTGAGTGAAAGATGTTCATATAAAAGTAGGGCATTACAGGTAAGAACTCAGTTTATCAGTGAGAAAACAGCACGTGCAAGATGTTGTGTTGGAAGCTACCATCAAGGCCCTACACGTATGGAGAAGGAATCCCTTCAGCATGAGTCCTTAAATGACCTGTTTCATCCATTTGCCTACTTTCTACTCTTTCTAGTGTAGAAAATTCTTTTACCCATATTGTAGGCTCAATTCCTTGCTAGCTTTTTCTCTTTCATTTTAAACTTATCTAAGTGCTTTCTATTACCATTCCCCAAATAATGTAATGTGTCTGCATGCATGTGTGTATTTACGTCTGCATAATCACTACCAGTTGTTCTGTTCCTGTGAAGATGTACAACCTCAGAAACCCTATACAGGGTCGTTATGAGTCAGAACCGACTACGTGGCACACCAATACCTACCTGAAGTTCTGGGGTGACCCTGTGGGTTAATGCACTAGACTGCAAGGTGGATTTGAACCACAAAGTTAGCGGTTCAAGCTCACCAGCTGCTCCTTGGAAACCCTACGTGGAGTCCCTATGGGTCAGAATCCACTCTCCGGTTCTTAACAACAGCAACAACAATCCCTACCTGCCCCTGCCCCCCATTCTTCAGTATAAGTACATTCCAATGACTTGTTTCAATTGTTTTTCTTAGATTCTTCTTTACCCAACATTTTAAATTTCCAAACATATCCAAGGACGTCTGCTAAATGCTGACATTTCCAATTATGTAAGCTATGAAGAATTCAGAGTTTGAAAGTTGTGTTAGATATATATTCATGAAAAAGTTCTGCAGAGCGGAATCTAATTTTTAAAAAAAGAGGGTCAGAGAGTGTAGCAGAAAGTCAGGGGTTAAATATGTACAACTGGAATTAATTCATATTGAAATAATAGTTAGAGTCTTGGGAATGATTGGAGTGACTACCTGCCTCAGTTACCTAGAGCTTCTATAACAGAAATACTACACGTGGTGGCTTTTACAAAAAGCAGTTTGTTTTCTCACTGTTAGGAGGCTAAAATCTGAGTTCAAGGTGTTGAACCTAGGAGAAGGCTTTCTCTATTGGCTCTGGGGATATGCCCTTTTCTCTTTTCAATTTCTGTTCCTTGGTTCCTTAAATACCTTATATGACATAGCATCTAGCTTCCCCTGTCTCTGTTCTTTTGCTTGGTTGCTTGCTTAATCTGCTCTGAAATTCTTGAAGGCTCTGCTAAGAGGGGAGAACTTAGTTCTTTTTGGAGAATTGAAGAAGGCAGTATTCCTGGGCACTGTAAGCAAGTAACAAGGTTGGAAGAAAAGGCAGAAGGAACCACATCATTCAGCCTTTGCTGGTGATGATGAGGAGTTTGGATTTTGATGAGGAGGCCAGCCCAAAAGTGATTTTGGCTCCTGAATAGATTAGAGTGTGTGAGAACTTCTGAGTAGGTGACTTCTTCAGTGGTCTGGGTAAAAAGCAATTCTGGTTTTAAAGAGGACTGGCAGGGGAGATTAAAGGGGACAGTAGTAAAGATCACCAAACAACCTAACTAGATGAAAGTTGCTGAAAGATCATCTAGAGTTAGGAGAGAAAGGATTGTGCTGGAATGAATTACTTGTTTCTGCCTTGAGATGCTCCGTTTTGATGACTTCAGTGTTTAAATGCCTAATATCTCCATTTTTGGACCTAAATTCTTCCACAGTAGCAAATGTTGTTGTTACTGGGTACTGTTGAGTTACTGCTGTCGCCACTGTGTCAGTCCATCTCATAGGGGGGGTCTTCCTCTTTTTGGCTGACCCTCCACTTTACCAAGCTTGATGTCCTTCTATGCAGAAGGTGAAGTTTCACCCTCCTCACTTCTAAGGAGTATTCTGGCTGTACTAATTCCAAGACAGATTTGTTTGTTCTTCTGGAAATCCATGGTACTTTCAGTATTCTTTGCAAATAACCATAATTTAAACGCATCAATTATTTTATGGTCTTTCTTATTCATTGTCCGACTTTCATGCATCTAAGGCAATTGAAACTATCTTGGCTTGGGTCAGGTGTACCTTAGTCCTCTGTGACATCTTTGCTCTTTTAAAATGTGAAGCACTTGCTGATGGGAGATTTTAAAACTACAACCTTCAATGTAAAGAAAACAAAAATCCTCAAAACTAGACTGTAAACAACATCATGATAAATGGAAGAAAGATTGAAGTTGTGAAGAATTTCATTTTACTTGGATCCACAATCAGTGCTTATGAAAGCAGCAGTCAAGAAATCAAATGACATTTTACATTGGGCAAATCTGCTTCCAAAGACATTTTTAAAGTGTTAAAGAGGAAAGATACCAGTATGTGGACTAAAGTGCTCCTGACCCAAGGCATGGAATTTTCAGTTGCCTCATATGCATGTGAAAGTTGAACAGTGGATAAGGAGACAGTGGAAGAATTGGTGCATTTTGAATTATGGTGTTGGTGAAGACTATTAAAAGTATTATGGGCTGCCATAGAACAAACAAATCTTTCTTGGAAGAAGTATAGCCAGACTTCTCCTTAGAAGTGAATATGGTAAGACTTTGCCTCACATGCTTTTGAACATGTTATAAGGAGGGACCAATCACTGGAACAGGACATCATGCTTGGTAAGTTACAGGATCAGCAAAAAAGAGGAAGATTTCCAACAAGATGAATTGACATAGTGGATGCCACAGTGGGCTCAAACCCACTTATGAGGATGGAGCTTGTCTAGGCAGTGCTTCATTCTGGGGTACTTAGGAACACTATGAGTCAGAAATGACTTGACGGCACCTAACAACATCCATGCATGCCTAGATGTATATGTAAACTTGACTAATCATCTTTTAATGTGGAAGATGGCCTGAATAGTGTGTATTTACCAAGCTTTCTAGATGATTCTAATCCGAACCAGTATTTGAGAATCATTGTGACAACATATACCTATAATTTCCCTCTGTCTCTTCCTGTGTTATAGCTCATTAATTTCTGTACATTTCTTGCCAACTTTTTAGATTACATGTTTTCTTGTTAACTGTATATCATTTACTGCTAGATAAAATTTCTCAGTTTGGTTTTTTTCACTGATGTAATAAATGTTGAACTTTTAACAACAATAACAAAAGCTTTAACATTTCATTTTCTTTCAGATCTGCAATCAATGTGTGAAACCAAGTTATTGTCTCTAAAGAAGGAAGTTTATGAAATAGAATCATGTCAGAGAGAGCTACTTGGACTTAAAAGGCAAGGCTTTGAGTACTCTAATCTTAGAGATATCTTGGACTACAAAATTCACTTGGATAGACCCCTGGGGTATTTTAGTCAAGAAATATTCACTCATGAATACATGCCCAACTTTATTGAACACACGTTCAATACTCTACATCAAATCATTAATAATGAAGAGAAACCCTATGAATGTAAGAAATGTGGAAAAGCCTTTAGTCAGAACTCACAATTTATTCAACATCAGAGAATTCATATTGGTGAAAAAGCTTATGAATGTAAAGAGTGTGGGAAATTCTTTAGCTGTGGCTCACATGTTACTCGACATCTGAAAATTCATACAGGTGAAAAACCCTTTAGATGCAAGGAATGTGGGAAGGCCTTCAGTTGTAACTCGTACCTTTCTCAACATCAGAGAATTCATACTGGAAATAAACCCTATGAGTGCAAGGAATGTGGAAAGGCCTTCAGTTATTGCTCAAATCTTATTGACCATCAGAGAATTCACACTGGTGAAAAACCTTATGAATGTAAAGTCTGTGGGAAAGCATTCACTAAGAGCTCACAACTTTTTCAACATGTGCGAATTCATACAGGTGAGAAACCCTATGCCTGTAAGGAATGTGGCAAAGCCTTTACTCAAAGTTCAAAGCTTGTTCAGCATCAGAGAATTCATACTGGTGAAAAACCCTATGAATGCAAGGAGTGTGGGAAAGCCTTTAGCAGTGGCTCAGCACTTACCAATCATCAGAGAATTCACACTGGGGAGAAACCCTATGATTGTAAAGAATGTGGAAAGGCTTTTACTCAGAGCTCACAACTTCATCAACATCAGCGAATTCATGCTGGTGAGAAACCCTTTGAATGTCTTCAATGTGGGAAAGCCTTCACTCAAAATTCACAACTTTTTCAACATCAGAGAATTCATACAGATGAAAAACCATATGAATGTAATGAATGTGGAAAGTCTTTTAATAAATGCTCAAACCTGACTCGGCATCTGAGAATTCATACCGGTGAAAAACCCTTTAACTGTAAGGAATGTGGGAAGGCATTTAGTAGTGGATCAGACCTCAACCGTCATCAAGGAATCCATACTGATGGATTTTAAAAATTAAAGCTCTTTCCACTTTTCTAATAGTTTCAGCAAATTCATGCTTAATAGTTCACATATTTTGAAGTCTCAGAATTTCATATTTTAGTTTTTGATCCAAATGTATTTCACTCTAAGATATAAATCAAGTTGATTCCGACGCATAGTGATCCACAGGGCAAAGTGGAAATGCTCCTAGGGTGTCCAAGGCTTTAAATCTTTACTGGATCAGAAAACCTTATCTTTCTCCCTCAAAGTGACTGGAATTCAAACTACTGACCTTGTGGTTAGCTGTCCAACACACAATCCACTATGCATCCAGGGTTCCATCTAAAATGTAAATTAGGGTCAAAATTGACATTTGCCCTCCTCCTTCCCTGAAAGTCACATCCCAATGCCATTTATTCAATAATACTGTCATTACCCAATGCTGTATTTGTGTTATATACTTGTTTACATGTGCTTGTGTTTTGGAACCCTATTTTTCCTTATCTATACTTTGACTAGTACCATACTGTTTAAATTTCATTGCCTTTATTTAATAAGAGTGGGCTTCAGAAAGTTCCTAGAAGTCTATTATCTTTTCATTCTATTCTCCTACAAATTTTTTGACGCTCAGTGTATTTTTAATTTCCTGGTAGAATTGTAACTTTGTTTTCGAAGTCACTGTTAATGCTTTTGTTTCATTTCACAAATGTATGCTTTTTTTTTTTTTGTTAAGTAGAAAAGCAGGAAGCATAAAAAAGCGCAAAGTCAACACCAAAATTACTGTAAAAATGCCAACTATTGTTTGTTGTTAAGTGCCATCTAATCGGTTCCAAATCATAGCGGCCCTGTACAGGATTTATGAGGATTGGCTGGTGGGTTTGAATGACTCACCTTGCAGTTCAAACTAACCTTGTGGTCCAGTGCTTTATTGTACAGCGCTACACCAGGACTCCAATAATACCAACTAGAGGTTGGTATTTTTTCAAATTGTTGGAGAAAATCCTGCACATTTTGTTAATGAAAGTGTAATCATGGTTGTATACTGTACTGTTTATAATGCTACAATGTATCATTACAAAGGGCTGCTATTTTAGTAAATATGTTGTTAAGTGCTGTTGAGTCAGTTCTGACCCATAGCCACCCTGTATAGGGTTTCCTAGGAGCAGCTGGTAAACTTGAACCATCGACCTTGTGGTTCAAAAGAGCTTTGCAGTCCAGCGTATTAACCCACGGCACTATACCAGGACCCCTCAGTAAATATAAATGTTATTATGAGTTCACTATACCTACTGATGAAAGTTATAATTAACTCTAAATTTTGACAATTATAAAAGCTTCCCTGAATAATGAGATCCAAATTTATATTTGAATGCTTGTTTGCTTTTCCTTTCTTTTAAAACATTTAAGTGCTGAAATTATCCATGTTTTTTCTTTATAAACTGTCTCATTCCTTTTAATCAACTGTCCTAATCCCAACCCCATACCAGAAAGGTAACCATGGTTATCAAAGATTTGTTTATCCTTCTAGATATTTTTTTCCAATTATGTATTGGTTTGCTGTGAGAATTCAATGAATTAATAAATGTAAAGTGCTTAGACTTAATTGAAATCTTACCGGTACCAGAGTTGCTCTGAAGGAGTTGCCAACTCCATGCGGGTTGTAACAAAGGAAGGCCTTTATTGTTTAGCACATGGCTCAGTGGATTCATATCCAGAGGCTGAGCCCTGTCTTCTCTGTGTGAGGATATTTTATAGGAAATAAAGGGTGCATACATGAGTTCATTTGGGATTGGTTAGTCGGGGGGCAACAGCTTCACAGGGCTCCCTGGGATTGGTTGGTTCAGTCATGGCGGGGAAGGATGCATGAGCATACAAGACAGAAGCGGAAGCAGGTGAACATTAGCTCGGGGCTCTGTTCCCTCTGGGAGGTGGGTCAGTAACAGGAGATTAGCTTGGGGAATCACATGAGGCTGAGGTAGTCTGTTGCTTATTTCCAGAAATGTGAATCTTGCTCCAGGAATGAGCTATGAGCCTGGGGGACATGGGGAACCAGCGCCTATTTCCACAGGCCTGCCTGCCTCACCTTTCACATTGTAGATATTTAGTAGAATTATCCCATATTCTCGTCAGTACATTCATTAATATAATATTAATTTTTAACAAAGGATTCTAGCCATGTTGTTTGCCTTTTTCAAAACCATAGAATTATAGAGAAAGAGCAATGGAAGCATTAAATATGGGAAAGACAGACCATATGTTGGGCTATAAAAGAAGACTCAATAACTTTCAAAGTACGACATCTATACGTTTTAAATCATTGGTCTCTCATTTTAGAGATCTATCATTTAGAGATCAGGGATTGAAAATGTATAGATGTCAGTACTTTGAAAGTCATTGACGTATAAAAACTGTTTACTCTGGGAATTTCATAGTTTTAACTTTTACCATTAAGTATATGAGTCACTTACAATTAATATCTGCGCATGGTGTGAAGGGTTGAAGTTCATTTTTGCCCACAAAGGCATCCAGTTATATTAGCATTATTTGTCGAAAAGCCTTTTCTTTACCTCCAGTGAGTTGCCTTGTCTCTGTCACCTTTGTAAAATAAGTGTCCCAGTGATGTTGGTCAAAGAGGAAGAGTAGCTAGGTAGTTCCAAGGGCCCATCCTTTCATAGAAACTTTGTAAGATCAAGCAAAACTCAGCTAAATCAATTTTGTCAAGAGTTCTGGAAAATAATCCGAGGTTTACAAGAATTAAGCAAATGCTGAATTAAGAAAAAGACAAAACGGTAGGAAAGGTGTATGCCACCCTCAAAAGCATAGCCATGGTCTTGAAGATGGCAGACTGAGTCCCAGGTCCTAAAGGGAGCAGGGCAATTTTCTTATCCAAGAAGACTGATAGTTCTCATCTGTCTAGGGGCTAACTACAGGACTGATGCAAGGCACTTGCTTTTTTATTTTTATTTTTAAGGTTTTTATTGTGGATTGAGTGAAAGTTTACAGGGCACATCATCAGTTTCACATTCAACCATTCATATGACTTGTTTCATTACATTGATTATAATCCCCTCCATA